AAGTATGAAGTTTCCAAGTGGAAATGAATGCATCGTTTTTAAGTCAAATATTTTCGGATCACTTGGATTTCCCGACACCACAAACTCACAGGATCTGTGGAAGGCACTCAATCCTGCCTTTTTGTCTCGGCCGCTGTAGTTTGAATGACGAATAGAAAAGCACATAAGGGCCACATTTCCACACAAGCTAACGGCCTCGGACATTTTGAATGTCTGTTTAAAACCTGGCTATGATCCACCACCAGCACAAAATGAGAATACAAAATGCCCAGTCTTGCGTGATAGCGAGCGGATGTCTGAAGCAACTCAAATTCAATTCTTTGAAATTGTTTGACATAAGAAAAACAAAAAATACAAAAAAAAAACTGAAAGAGGCTGGTGGAATTTCGAGAAAAAATGCAACCTGACACTAAAAATAGCACAGACCTGAAAGGTAAGTCAATTGACACAGATGCCTATCAACCAGATTATGTTTGTGACAATGAGGAGTGTGGTGGGTGTGTGACAAGGTGTGTTCTAAAATTAAACCACAAGAAAGAGCAGATGCTTAGTTCCATGCATTCATGTGGCTCCTTCAAGGCAGGTAACAAAGGGATATCATGCTGAAACCAATAATCTAACAAGACATGCGCTTGCACGATGCTCTGGGTCTAGTTACTCAGTCAGCGGACTGAAAGTAGGGATCCTTTGGGGAGCGATAAAGATCCGAGATCTGACAGGATGTTGGAGTGATTCTTCAGAGGACTGAGCCGCATCATGCACACCCTGAGGATCGTTCACTTCTGAGGTAATTCAGTTCAACAATGTATGGATTTCTAAAGAAGTCTAAAGCAGCCGTGAAGGACACGATGAAAATGTAAGTGCATTTTACTTGGAGCGCTTTAAGGCTGATTATTGCGCCTTCATACTCTTGCGTGGTTATTTTTGTCCACAGTCCAGCTAAAATAAAACTTGTTTACAGCTGCAAATGTTAAAATGAGATTTTTTTTATTATTTTGATTTGTAATATATTTACTATTTGAAATTTGTTGTAAGTTAGAAAAGAAACTATTTTATTTCTACTTTCAGATTTTAAAACAAATTCAAACTTGAAGACCTTTGCAGAACCAGAATACCGGTAGATAGGACACAAAACTTTTAGCATGTGAGAAACAATTTTCAAACTGAACGGGCCACAATTTTTTTTATTTTTTTTTTGTTTTACTTACAACAAATATTGCAAATAAAGACTTTGGGGTTAAAAATCTTACAAGGAGCAGTAAGAACTGGTTTTGAGTCACTCTTCATTCAAAAACACTAAGTGTGCAAGATAGATGTGATCAAGCCTGCTTTTGAATAAAAAGTTACTGAATGTTTCTGCTCCTTTTTACTATTATGTACATTACGTTGTACCAAAAATGTTCAATTTCAAGATTTCAATTTGTTGGTAAACATTTTGTAATTTGTGCTAGGCACCTAGGAAAACTCTGATTTGGACATATTACATTGAGATTTCCATAAATCCATTACCATTGATGCAGATCTGCTGTTGTTTTGCCTTTTTTTGTTTGTTTTTTTTTTTTTTACTATTATTGTGTAATGCTGCTTTTCTGTAAAATGGGCACACATTCAAAATAAACGCCCCTCTCTCTCCTTTTTTGCAGACAGGAAACGGATGAAACAAACCCGTGGGGAGACTCTCTTGAGACGGTCCTTTCCCAGAAAAGTAATTTCCTTCTGCTTTCAGGCAGTTCAGAACCAATGTCATGGTTGGCTACTGCCATCTTCATAATGCAGCTATGTTCTTTTCTGTAAAAAGGCGGGCGGAGTGCATTTCGGGATTTCCTAAAGTTGGAGTTCTGTGAGGAAAACCTGGAATTCTGGCTCGCCTGTAAGGAGTATCGGTCGTTTGACTGTCTGGAGGAGCGGACGCAGATAGCGGCGAGTATTTATGAAGAGTTCATCAGGGAGGGATCCCCCAAACAGGTGAGGATAGTTCATCTGATGTGGACTCATGCAACCAAATGTATAGTTAACTTTTAAGTTTTAGTTAGCTAAAGGTACAACAAAGATCAACATTGTTTACTTGGGTTACATTCAATAGTCAATCATGGCTAAAATTATTCATAATTTTCCATTTCTTTTTCCAAATAAAATTCTGAAAACTGTGGCATGTCGATGTGAGGGTCGGTACTTTGTAGCATCACCTTTAGCTGGAATTAAAACTGCTAGTCTTATTGGTTCTCAAGCAGCTTTGGATGTCAACCAACCTGTTGGGACTTTTCAGCCTTTTACAGGTTTCCTTTCTAGGCGTCCAATTTTGGTTTTGTTCAACCATCTTCTATTTGTTCCGTGTATCTCCTACTTTCTTTGTGATAAGCTGTGTGTGGATTTCTGCAGCTCCTTCAGAGTTGCTGCTTCTCTGATTAATGTTTTCCTTGGCCAGCTTTACCTTTTCGTTGGACGGCCATGTCTTAGTAGGTTTGAAGTTGTGCTGTCCTCATTCCATTCAGAGTTGGTGGATACTGTTTTGAACTACTGCTTTAAACTTTCCCATTAGTAATGGCAAAGTAATGGGCTGTTACATTGCCATGATGTTCTCTAACAAACCTCTGAGGCCTTCATAGAACATCGGGAGGTTAAACTATGCTAATTAGTGATCTCTGAAGACATTGGATGGATTAAAGACTGGATGGATTAAAGTAAAGGGTGGTAATTAATTATTGAAAGAGTAAAAAAATGAAAGTAAAGAAACCCCTAATTAAATGTTACTCTTAAGGTGTACTCATACCAGCCCTGTAGATTGGGCATAAAATAATCCAACTGACACTATGAAGATTTTTGGAAATTCTTCTGTTCGCTGATTGGTTGCAAAACTCAATGGGAGAAACTCCACTGAAGGGAGATGAGAATCAAACAAAATTGTGTTGGAAATTTTGTGTTGGTCTGTCACATTAAATGCTCATAAAATACTGGTTGGTAAAAGGTCATGCATTGTAAGCACAAAGTGAAGTGAGACATCTTTTGCAGTTTCTGCAGCTTTATGTAACTGTTGTGCTGTTTCTGCAGGTGAATCTGGATTCCTATACGAGAGAAACGATCAGACAGAGTCTGGAAGAGCCGGGGTCGTCCTGCTTCGCCATGGCAGAGAGGAAAATCTTCATCCTGATGGAGAACTGCTCCTTCCCACGCTTTACCGAAACGGAGCCGTACAAGCTCTTTCTTAACTCCATTTCGAAACAGAGAGATCTTAAGAAAAAACGCATGGCGATGAGAATAAAGAGCCCTGTGGAGGATTTCAAAGTGAACCCTCTGCTCCTGGTGAGCAAGGACTGACTCAGTGTGTGCTGCCGAGAGTCTGAAGTGTTGCCCAGACAGACTGACGAAGGGCTGCGGGTCAAAGTGCTGCACAGGCACTTCCTCATCCCACAAAGCTTCACAGCAGATTTCTGTTAGACAAGAGAGAGAGACAGACAGAGAGAGCTGTGAAAATGACACAGAAACGAGTCAGCAGCAGGGCTAAGGTTCTTGCTTTTACTGTGCAGCTTCTGGTTGGGACAGCTTTGAAAGTAAATCTGTTTTTTTTTTTATTGGTCTGCAAAAGTGACTTGTAATGAAATGTATTTTGTACGTTTGGACTGTAGCAGTATTTGTCAAAATGTGAAATCATCCTGTCATGTAGGCATCATGTAGCACATGGATTATTTCATGATAAATCACGTGATTTTTTTTTACAGCACCAGCTGCGTGGAGGTAACAAAAGTGCACCCTTCATGCTGCATCTGGTGCGCTACTGCCACCCAGTGGCCGGAGCGCAATACTGCAGTGGAGGTTAACCATACTTACGATCAGAGTAAAGTTTTCTGTATCAACTTTTGTATATAAAAAAAACTCACATTATTCACATTTCTTTCTTTCAGTTTCAGTATTTTTTTCTTGTTGCCTTTAATTTTTTTAATGTACAACCTGATTCCATAACTTGTTTTATTACTCATGTTGATATTAAAACAATGACTTCACATTTAAAAGTTTGATGAGAGAAATAATATGTCAGAGATTAATTTATTGTCTTTAAAACTAAACATTTACATACCAAATGACTTTTTCAGGCCTACCAGGCCAAATCTGAGGTACCCAGACAAATCAACTTTAATTGATCTTTTTATAAATCAACATTGTGAATTATTGTAAATGAGACATGAAACAGACTTTTTTTTGCAGATGATTTTTATTTTTATCTATTTCACCTGTAAGAAGCTGGAAAAGACTTCAAACAGGAGCAGAGCTTCACCTTCCAGCAGGATGATGGAACACAATGATTAGATCCAAGTATATTCATGTGTTGTCCTGGTCAAAGTCCACATCTGAATCCAATTGAGAATGAGTGGCAAGAATAGAGAAAATGTTGTTTACAGATACTTTTGCATCCACTTTTAGGTTACACTTAAGTTTTGTAGGTAGCCTGGTAAAAACTAGCCATTTCTATGCTTGGTTTAATAAAGAAGGTCTGGTCTCTGGGCTACTGAGAAACGATTGCTTGCTGGAGGCATGGACTCTGTTTAAAGTTTAAAATTTTACCCAATCGCTAATGTTTAATTGTGACATATGTAATGCGCCAGTTCGACGCTATAAAGCTTACCAGAAATTACCTGAGCTGTAAATAACCATCCTCCACTGAGAAGAGAAAAGTTTCAAGCTGAACAAGGCTGTTAATGTTAATTCAATATTTGGAGGCGTAGTCAACACAAACTATTTTATTTTATTTTATTTTTTAGCATTAGTGGTTATGTGTTGAGATATGGGGTTATTTATGTTTTTGCTAAAGGCATGGCTATGAATTTACTTGTAATGTTTATTGTTTGGGTTGGGGATAAATGTGGTGACTAAAATGAATGAAAGTCAATACAAAGTCCTAATAAAGGCAGAAGTATGAAGTTATGCGTGTGGGAGAGAGAAAGAAAGAAAGCGAGAGGGAGAGGCAGAGCGACAGATAACATGGTGTGTAGTGTAGTGTGTGACAGTATCCCAGCATCCACTGCGCCCCACCCTCGTTCCCCCCGATTACGTCACTGCCAACCGGAGGGCAGGCCTCGCTCCATCAGGCTGCATCAAAACTTTCGCACTGTGCAAATATCTCGCGGTAAGTATTTATTCAGAATTTATTGCTAATTAGTGTTATTTTTAAATACCAGCATCATACGTCAGCCGTTAAATCGACAGTGTTGTTGGAAGGCGACCAGCCTCCTGCTAGCTCCGCTCGCCGGAGTCCAGGTGGATGAAAAGTGCTCAGATTTATCTGATAGTTTGGGCTAAAGGAGACAGTGGCTAAAAGCGCTCGGCTCTTTTGTTATGCTTTTATGAGTAGGTGGGATATGTATCGCGACATAACTACTGTAAACAGCAGTTTCGTACATTTACGAGCTTATAATTATTAGTATTTTATTTATTTATTTATTTATTTTACATCTGAACCAACAAAACCAGCAGAGCAAAGCTTCGGTTCTCTGGTGCCTGGTTAACTAGTTTAGTTACTAAAGCTGGAACTGGGAATGTTAGCTTAGCATAGATTCATATGCTAGTTAGCAGGGTGGGATCTCTGAAGTTGACAACTTTGGAACAGCGAAGCCTTCACACATCTCCGGTGTGTGGGTCGGAGTGGCTCCTCGCTGTGGTTTGTGTATCATCATGTCTTCTAATCGGCTTTAATCTATTTCCGTCAGGGCACGGAGGCAGCGAGGAAACGATGCTAGTATGTAAAAGTCAGTGTTGACCTGCATATATCTGCTGGGTCTGATCTCTGCACAATCCCGGAATGTGGCAGCACCGGCTATTTAGCAGGATGGATACACTCTTGTTTTTCACCCTGCCACACACACACACACACACACACACACACACACACACACACACACACACACACATATACATACAACGAGAAAGTAAATGAATATTTCCACATGTGATTGGTAGAGATGCACCAGTTATTTCCCCTGAGTAAAATTACATATATGTTATTGCTACTCATCAATTCCTTAAAAAATCTGCAATTATTTTGGTTCTACACATCAACCAACAGCATGGACTATTTTTTTAAAAAAGTTTTAATAAAAATCACATAAAGGTTACAGACAAATGTTTTATGCATATTATTGTAATATTTTAATTCCTTTATTTTCTGTTGGATTCAGTTATTTCCTCTGAAAAAAGTTACTAAAGCACATTTGTTTTTCCCTTGATGTGTTAAACAATTAGACCTTAGTAGAAAAATCAGAAAATTGGCAAAAAAAAAAAAAAAAAAAAAAAAAAAAAAAAAAAAGGAAAATTTGCCCTGAAATGGGCCCTCAAA